TAATATATATATATATATATATATATATATATATATTCTTTGGTGAGCTTGTTGGATTGTTTTTAATGTTATATATTTTTTTACAAATATATGTTTTTTTTGTGATGAATATGAGAAAACATATTTGTTTTTTTTAATGTTATATATTTTTGGTGAGCTTGTTGGATTGTTTTAAATGTTATATATAATTTTTTATAAAAATATTTTTTTGTGATGAATATGAGAAAAAATTTATTTCTTTTTAAGGTTATTTTTTATGTATGTTACTGATGTTTGTGTTTTCAACTTCTTGTTTAGTTGTGACATTTTTTTTAAATTATTTTTTTATTTGTTACAAGCTATCTATCATTTGTTTCAACTTCATACTCTTTAAATCTCTTTATTAGCCTATGAAGCAAAGAGATAAAAACTAAAAAGTGTTTTCGCATGCTAAAATGGATAAAAATTTAACCTGTTTTTTTTAATTTTAAATATGCATCTTAATTTTATATTTTAAAGTTGCCATCTTATATAATTTTTTTTTTTTTCATGTTAAAACCCAACTCAAAAAAGTTATTGAGTAAAATCGATTTGGCCAATTGAAAATCGAATTGGCCATATTTTTTTAAAATATGTCATTTGGCCATTTGAAACAACACTTAACACCTTGACTCACACCTTGCATTGGATAAACAAGTTACGAAGTAAATGAGGTGCTCTCTCTTACTACCTTGACTCACAACCTTCCAAAAATTGGGAACATCATGCTACAAAAAAATACGCTCTCAAACCCAATTCTAAACCGTATTAAAGGGATATTAAAACAACATTTTTCAACATCAACATTAAAACAATATAGAAGCATATATTGTTGCCTCGTCCATTGTTAGTTGGATATTGTAACTTCACCCATTGAATTTATGTGAAATTATAAATTGTCATGCATATTTTCATAATATTCAAATATTAAATTAAATAAAAAGTTGTTTCAAAATTTTTTAGGCGCATACTTAAACTAAGTTTTCTATTTTTTTTTTGGGATTTTGACCTAATTTTTTTTTTTTAATCTACTTGATTGGTTAATCCGGTTAACCACTCCGGTTAATTCGGTTCCGATTCGAACCACTCCTAGCCTCATGACCGGTTAACCTTTCCAGTTCAATTTTGCAAACATTGACATAAACACCGATTTCTAAGGATCGGCCAGATAATTCGTTGGTCTATGTGCTATTGTAGGGCATGAGTTTTTTTCATTCAGTTCTAGAGTGTTAATTTTAAGGGGTGGTAGAAAGAGGTTATTTATCTTTTATACGTGGAGGTTTCGATATTCTTTGTCCCTTAAATTTATGCAAAAAAAAAAAATTCATTTGTCCCTTAAAAATTAATCCTTGTTAATTTTTTTTGCATAAAGAATGTCAGGCCTGTGCAGGATTTGCATGGAAACCCTAGAATACAAGGGGTATGTATATGTTGTATCATTGTTAAAAACAAAAAAAAAGTACAAAAAAGAAAAGAAAAAGAAAAAAAAGAACAAAAAAAAGGCCCCTAAATTACAATTTCCTTGAGAAGAATATATTGTGTTCTTTTTGTTTTCGATGGTAAACTATTTCCATTAGAAATTGACATGCACTTTTTGGAAGCACCAAAACATTTCGTACTCTTGCGAGTATAATATGCATTTATGTGCCTTTTTGAAGCACCAAAACACTTTGTACTCTTGTGAGAGTATTATATCTATTTACACCCTCGGGTAAACCTAATCCAGGAGTACCTTTAGCACCCCAATTTTTGGTGATGTAACATCTGCAACCCATTCACTCATCTCAATAAATTTTTTTTTTCTAAATCACATTCCCCATGTGCTTGAAAAATAATGCCTCAAGATTGAATAGAGACCATCCAAATCTTGGATGGTGAGATCTAAATGTTAGAGACTTCAAAATCTAAATTTTTGGAGTGTGAGATCTAAGTGTTAGAAAAGTCAAAATCTATGCCTTTTATCTTTTGATAATAATAGTCAGCTTCTTAAATTTTGAGATAAGAAAAGTCCTTAATAATTCCTTTTTCAAGGGTATAAATGAATAGTATGCTACCTGAGGAGCAAAATATATGCATTATAAAAATTAGAGATTATCTACAAAGAGTTCATTTATCTATAAAGCACAATCATTTCTATTCATTAAATGTCAAATTGGATGCTCATCTACATCTACCTTATCTTGGAGTGTCACACATTGCAGATGTATTCAAATACTCAAGTAATGAAAAGTACAAACTTAGAACTCTAATATATATTTAAATAATTATTTATGAATAATATATTTATTGTTAACTAGTCATAAATAAAAAATACTTTTTCTCATCAATTTTAATTCTCTTCTAAAATATCTTAAGGTACATATATTTTCTCTTTCAAATTTTAAAATT